ATATATATAAATATAATACATCAAATAGATTGTTTTGTATTAAAACAAGTTTAATAAGGTACCTGTAGTAAAAACAATAAATAAAGTGTTATTATTACCCAGTTTTTTCAAAAAAATTTTCAAATGCATTTTGAGTAAGGTACAGAACTGTATACAAATTAAATATTTATTCCTAATATAAAAATTTGTATGTTAGTAATCTTATTTTATAACTAATTAGTTTAAACAAAATTTAATTGAAAAAATTTTCTTTGTAGAAACAAAATATAGAAACACTGAAAAAATTAATTTTTTAATTAATTAATGAAATATATCAATTCCCTCAATACACATTTCCTTATATCTCGAAAATAGTTCCTTTGTAGTTTATACCAAGGCATTCTAGTTATAATAAAGAAAATTGTGTCATTTATTTATTTTTTTTAACTGTTCAAATGTGGTTCAAAATAAAATTAAAATTTTATGATGAAAATATTAATTAATGCACTTATTTGAAATTTCGTTAACAAAGATTTTTTTAAGAAAGAAATTTAACTAATAATGCGCGAAATAAAGCGTCAAGACAAAGATATACAAAAAATATAAAGATTAAGACGTGCTGCAGGATTATCACTCACATGGAGCCTCCACCGGGATGAAGTGGTCGTCGCAACGGCCTTGGCGACGTACTATCACGACGACTTAAAGTTGGAGATCCACCAGTTATGCTACCATGACTTCTAGTTAGGACCAATCCTCTTACAAACAAAAATTTTGCATTTTATACTCCATATTATGTGATTATATTAAATAATTACAGAATAATTATAGTTACTTTAAACTGCCAGGTGCACTAGGCACCCTTGTAAGTGGATGATTATAACTTTGACTTTGTTCTTCTACTTTTAAATTATCTGGATTGGCTTGAACTCCATAAAGAAGTTCTTGAGGTTGTGTAGTTCTTCGTCGTACTTTATTATTACGTTGTTTTTCCTCTCCAATTATAATTTGACTGTAATTTTCACTAATATTTCAAATTAAACAAATATTAATTAGTTAAAGAAATATATGCAATGGTAAATGTGACTTACTTATCTGGTGACGAACTCCTTGAACTAGGAGGGCTATAGTTCATTGTACTATGTTGATTATTTGTAAGGGATAAAAGATCTCTATCTCGTAAGACGTGTTCCAATAACTGATGCTGTACATCACTTTCTTGTGCAACTTGATTTAATCTTGATTCCATATCTCGAACTTCAAGCTGTTTTTGAGCAGCTACGCAACTTTGTTCAACAGTAAAAGCTAACATTCTTTGTAATAAATATTGAGCCTCATCCACTGATTGAATTGTAGATATAAGAGCTTCAACACCAGGTTCACCTTCACCTTCTCCATCTCCCATTTCCATCATATCACGTTGACATTCGGAGATACTATCCTGTAAAATATAACTTGAAGAACAAAGCAAAAATAATTTAACTAATATAAGAAAAAAAAA